CGCTCAGCCATGAAGCTCACTGGATGACTTGGGTCAGGCACAGCCTACCTCACAGGGTTGTTGTGAGGGGAAAATGGAGCTATGTTAGCCACCTTGGGTTCCTCACAAGAGGAGAAGAGGTGGGATATAAATGCAATGTAATAATAGTAATAGATCACATGCTGGAAAGTTTGTGTGGGCAAGCTGGAGGCAAAGGTTTGGGTTGCCCTATCCCTCTTCTGCTAGCCCACTTAGTTGCTGTGTTAGGCACATAGGAAGGAAAATCTTTCATGACCACCTCAGAAATGCCGTGGGCTGGAAGCAGGGAGGGTCATGTTTGTTCTGTTTTGTTTTCACTGGCCTGCTAAGAGGCGAGTGGCCTGCATTTCCATGCTGGCCACAGTGGAAGAGGTTCCCTTTCCTCCACAGCCATCATGGGAGCATTGCATACCAGCCTCTTAGAAGATGCATTAAAAAAAAAAAAAAGCATGTCAGTAACTTGTGTGTGTGTATTTCCACAGCTGACTGTAATTCAGCAGATCTTCTAATTGCTTTGCCTCTTAAAGCAGAGGAAGCTCCTGCTAGATCAGCCCAAAGACATCTTGTTTCAAAGATGTCAGCCAGATGCTTATGGGCTTCCTGGAACTGGGGCTAAAAGGGTGCACCCCTCCCTCTGCAGTTTCTCCTTAGCCCCTGCACCTCTGTGCCATTGGCTGCCTCTGAACCTCCTATGGACAAGGGAGAGAAAAATGTGTCCCTGTATTCACTCTCTCCACACCTGTTAAACTTCTGCTAAAGATCCCGCCAGGAACAAAACCAGCAATATTTCCTCAGAAAAAGCTATTTACTCCTCATTCCTTTTAAGGCTCATTGTAATCCTGACTCTAGCCCTTTTCTGGCACATGCTGTCAGGAAGAAAAGGGCCCTACCACTTCCAACATGCACTCGACTGTGCCTGAAGTGCATTTGGGGTAAGGGAAGAGGGGGCAGTATATGTGACTTGTAAAGACTGAGGTGAGGAAGATATATTCTAAATAAAGCCTTTTGCAGCAGGGCTAACAGTTGCCCAAAGCAGTTATTAAGTGGCTAATTAACTGGATGCTTGCTTTTGAATGGGCACCAGGAAACTCTGCACCCCCTGAGGGGAGCCAGGAATAAATATTCTGGATCCCGCTCCAACCCCAAGGCCTACAACTGCTCCTTCCTCCCCAGTTTTGCTTCTAGCCTCATATTTTAGCAGCTGCATCCAGCCTCTCCTTTTATTTCCCACAATTCCCCTGCTGTAGTAATGCCTTGGAGTATTCTGGGAAATATCAAGAGTAGGAATGAGCTGCTTCCTTTACCACAGATAGTGTACCTGCATATACCAGTAGCTGAAGAGCTTGGGCAGGAGGCAGACTTGCCCTCATCCTGCTTGAAGGATCCTGTGGGCAGCTGGGTTGCCACTGTGTGTACAGAATGCTGGGCTAGATGGACCTTGGGGCTGATCCAGCAGCACTTTTTTTAGCTGCTTGGTCATACTGCATACAGCCAGATCAGCCTACCAGGGCTTGGTGGAAGGAAACACCCCACCAGAGAACACCTCAAATGCTCTGAAGAGCTTCCATGCCTGGCAGAGCAAAACCAGAAGAGGACTAGGAAGGCAAATTACCCCTCAAAAGCAACTGGGAGCAACTGTCTTCATTCTGGTGCCCCCAGGTATATTAGACTACAACTCCCACAATCCCCTGCTAACACAGGACACACCAGGCGAGGGAAGGCTCACTTTTTTTTTTACCCCACCTTTCTTCCAAGGTTTCAGTTTTCCTCCCACCTACATGTTGTCCTCGCTATGACTGTGTAAAGTAGATTAGGCTGAAAGTCAGTGATCTTCTTGGTCAAACAGGAATTTTACCCCCAGGTTCTCTTCTTTCCCTACACCCAGAAGCTCAGAACAGTATCTGTGATTGATTCCTCCTCTGGTTTATCCTCACAACAGCCCTGTGAGGTAGGCTAGACTGAAAGAAAGAGACAGGCCCCATATCACTCAGCAAGCTTCCTTGTGGGATTTGACCCTGCCTGACAGTCCTAGTCTGACAATCCGACCGTTTCAGCACACCAGTTTTTAGTGTCTTGTGGCATTATACTTCTAGAGGCATAAGCTTTCATGGGTTGCCCTACCTCACCAACTATGTGATGTGCTCCCATAAGCAGAGAGGTCTGTGTTTATACCTTGAATGCACAGAGAAGGACAGAGAGAGACCCATTTGAGAATGTATTGGTATTTAAACGATCGCCTGATGCTTCTGAGGCACTTAAAGGGTCACCCTGTGCAATGGCATCTTTAGCTGATCAGGTGGCAACAAATTTCTCTGCCTCCTAATGCACACATTAAGTAATAGGTTTTTTAAAATTCTCTTTTTTCCACTCTTGCACTTCCCAGAGCAGCTGTGCTGGATTCCAGTCGAAGAGTGACAGAGGGAGAAAGCATGGAGGAGGACCACAGCGGGATCCTTTCACTGGGTAAGGAAGCCTTTCTCTTTTCTGGGATTGAGACACTGCAGAAGGTGGGCATTTTTCCCAGGTGGGTTTGGTTTGGGTGCCTGCTCTTTGGATCCTTCGTGCATGTGCCTGTTGTGTCCATGGACAGTTTCCTTACTGGCCTTTTCCATACTGGGCCTGCTGTTGCAACATGAAAAACTGACAACAGGAGCTAAAAGACCCTGAGACTGCTCTCTCTTCCCTCCAACTCCATCTGCTGCCTGAGAAATGGCAGAGTGGAGTAGACGACCATTTAGGGCCTCACCTACATTGGTGTCCAAGCAGAAGCCTGATCCCCCACAATCCTCCATCTGATGTAAGAGTTTCCTGGCAGCCATTTTGCAGATTAAATCAACAGATATTGTGTGTGTGTGTGTGTGTGTGTGTGTGTGTTAACAAAACTTGTTGTATTGCAGTAGCTTTAGTTATTCAGATACACATTGGAGGCATTCAAACACTACCCACAAGCTTTATTTATTTATTGTATTTATATGCTGCCGTATAGCCCAGAGGCAGCTTACAATAAAATAGCTCTCACTATTGGGCAGTGCAGAAATGGCCTGAAGGAGCTATTTTTGATGCCTGTTTGACAGACCCAGGACTGTGGGGGAAATTATTTAAGAATACACGCACATCAGCAAAATGAAATGATGATTCCAAGGGGAAAAAAAGATCAAGTATCTCGAGGTTTTAAATACCTGGCTGGGGCATGTTGCACGTGGTAGGAATTCTTTTGTCTGAGTATGAATAGGGTAGCACCTTAAGGCAAGGTTACTTTTTTTGCAAATTAGTTTATTAACTGAAAGAAAAAACACATTGATTTCATGGACGAATCTTACAGAAGCTCGGTAGCCAAGCCCATATGAGAGCGAGCAGAAATGGGACATCAGGCAGCCTGCTCAATGCTCTTCCCACCTTAGACTCTGACTCCACAGGAGATCTAGGCTGGCACTGGGGGCTCCGGCATGATACCTCCTGGAATGTGCCAGTGGGCGCTGTGCTTTGCCCTTTGCCCCATGCCTCTTGTTTTTGGTTTAATTGTGAGGCTGAAATGCTGTCAAGAAGGGTAGCCCTCCAGTGGCATCTTTATATGTGCTCGAAAGTGAATTTGTGGTTTGGAGCTCAGCCCCTGTCTCTGCCTTGGGATTCCTGGTAGGTTCCTTTTCTTTTAGTCTTAACTTCTGGGAACTGAATGGGGTTTTTTGACAGGCCATGCCCACCACAGCAGGCATTTTAAGAAAGGGCGAGTCCCCCTCCCCAGTTGCACTCATTCTGTCAGCAGCTGCAACACTGACTCAAAATTCTAAATGTGCCCACTGACCCACAGAGGTTGGGGACCTCAGGGCTAGATTTATTTATTTGCTTAAGATTTTTCTATACCATCAGTTATTCAAAGGAGTCTTGAGACTGTTTACAATTTAAGAATTACTTTTCTTAATAAAATAAGCATAGCTTTGCAAAATGCAGCACTCCTATCCTAATTAAGAGTTTCCCGCAATTGACCACGTTGGGAACAAAATGCTGGACTACCGTGTTTCCCCGAAAATAAGACCTAACCAGAAAATAAGCCCTAGCATGATTTTTCAGGATGCTCGTAATATAAGCCCTACCCCAAAAATAAGCCCCAGTTAAGATCGTCAGCCAGATGGATGGGGAAACACAGTGGTATGTCCGTTGTAACACCTGATAGACATAGTGAATTATAAAATAATAATGCTAATATATAATTAAATATAAATAAACAATACTATTGACATCAATACTTAAAATAAATGATGATATACATTATAATTACATATTTGTAAATACCAAAGCAGGTGCCTTTGGATGAGAGGTAAACGCCTATGTAAACAGATGAACGCGATACTTATTGCTGAATGACCAATCAGAGTACAGACACAACACACAAATAACGTCAATATGTCGTGTGTTGTAAGGGATGTACTTAATGCATGGATGCAAATGGCAAGATGGGTGCAAAAAGAAGGAGCTATTCCATCGAGTTAAAGAAAGGAATCGCGAAGGACTCTCAGGCCAAGAATCTTACGGCTTTTGTAAGAAAAAATAAGACATCGCCTGAAAATAAGCCCTAATGTGTCTTTTGGAGCAAAAATTAATATAAGACCTGGTCTTATTTTCAGGGAAACACGGTGGTCAGGCCTTTGGTCTCCTCTAGCTTGGGTTATCTTATCTTCTCAAGGTACAATTCTCTCCGTGTTTAGACAGAAAGTCTTCAGTGTGATGGAGTTGTAGGATTTCTTTCTCTCTAAATATGCAGAGGGTGAAGAAGCCCTTACTGGTCTTGAATCCCATGCCTGTGTAAATTCTGGTGTCATGATTCTCTGCTCCAGGAGGTGATGAGCACAAAAGAATTTACCCTGGAGAAGATCCTCGTTACTGCTCCATCTACGGCAAAAGCTTTGGGGATAAATCGAGTCTCATGAACCACGAGAGGCCGAATGTGGCGGAGAAGCGTTACAAGTGTCCTAGCTGTGGGAAAGGCTTCAAGAAAAGGTCGGCCCTTCTCACCCATGACCGAACCCACACTGGAGAAAAGCCTTATAAATGCTCAGACTGCGGGAACAGTTTCAGTAACAAATCCAGCCTTACGAGGCATAAGAGGAAGCACACTGGAGAAAAGCCCTTTTGCTGCTTAAACTGTGGGAAGCGGTTCAGCCAGAGCTCCAGCCTCATCCGGCACATGAGAAACCACACGGGTCTGAGGCCCTACATCTGCTCAGACTGCGGAAAAAGCTTCAAGCAGAGTTCCAGCCTGCTCGTCCACGGGAGGACCCACACGGGAGAGACCCCGTACAGCTGCTCCATCTGTGGGAAGCGCTTTTCCCAGAGCTCCAACCTCGTGAAGCACGAGAGAATCCACACTGGAGAGAAGCCCTACAGGTGCCCGGATTGTGGGAACACCTTCAGTAACAAATCTAGCCTGACAAGGCATAAGAGGAACCACACCGGGCAGAAGCCCTACAAGTGCATGCAGTGCAGCAAAAGGTTCAAGCAGAGCTCAGGCCTCCTCAAGCACGAGCGGATCCACGCACGGCAGAGCCTCTCAAAATACTCCGAGCCCAGCAAGCATTTCAACCTGAGTTCTGGCCTCGTGGAAAAGGAGAAGGCCTGCATGGAAGAACCTGTATAAAAGGCTGCATTCCAAGATCATGCCTTCTTTCAACTGGCTGAGACCACGAAATCGCTGGGTTTGGCCTGCCCATCTTCGGGACAGAGGAAGCTGGGCCCGTCTAGCCAAATATTGTTGACATGGACTGGCAGCAAGGGCTCACCAAAGTTTCAGGGGACTAATTTCCTAGTCCTACCCAGAAATGCCAAGGCTTTCACCTAGGCCTTCTGCATGCAGATTGGGCGCTCTGCTGCTGAGCTGAGGCTGCTCACATTGACCTCCAGCCCTTCGGTCTGCCGGCTTGGCGAAACTGCTTGTCTTTGCTGGGCCACACAGACAGCGATTACGAGGATTTTTCCGAGCTGCTGGTTGGTTGTGTTCTGTTTGGTGGGTGATACAGGCCCAACAGGGAGAGATTTCAGAGTTTGGCTCTCTCTCTGCAAAAGTGAACCCCTCGGGGAGGAGCAGAACAAATAAAAATGGCTGCACTCGTTCCAAGCCTCGTCAGCCAGAGCAGTCACATGGATGATGTGAAGGGAGGGAAAGCATGGGATTGGTCTCAGGGTTGGCATCGCCATTAAGCAAAGTGAGGTGCCCACTCCTGGATGGATGCAGGGTGGCGGCAAGGCCTTGGAGGGTGAATTCTATGCAGTGCCAGACAGTTTGCAAAACCCTTGGAGGGCCACCAAACAGGTCCTGTCCCTCAGTCATCATGGTCACCGGTTGTCATTTGCCTCCCTTCCTCTCTTTCTCACAATTTCCACCACAATTTTCTGTCTGTCGGGCAGAGTCCAGAGCAAGTTGGCAGGGGTGACTTTTGCTCCTTCTTACAACCTCTGACCAACAGGCAGGTGAAGAGGAAGGTAGAGCTGATGATGAAGGACGTTCTCATCAGTGGGTCCCTGCTGGGGTTGGGCCTTGGCTAGTATTTAGACTCACCCCTGCCTAGGGTGCTTGTCCCGGTTCTGTGTGCCACACCTCCTGTCCTGAGCCCCCGAGGCGAGTCTTGCTTCCCCGGGTGTGACGGAGGCAGCTGTCCCATCAGCAGTGCAGAAGTGAAATTCCACTTGGCCAACTTCTATGTGTTCAAGAGACACTTTGTGCCAGAAAGAAGATTCCTTGCTCCAAGAAAGGGGGGTTTTGTGGGTTAGCGCAAACTTGCCCTTAAGCCCAGAAAGCTCACTATCCAGCCAAGTCAGTATTAATGCTGCTCATAAAGGGGGCAGACCCATCCTTCACAATCATCATAGAAATGATATCTTAGCAAGTAGTCTTTTAGGCTAGCAAAACACAAAATCACGACTTATACAAACCAGGCTGGTTCAGGAAGTACCAGTTTCCTGGTGCATTTCCACAGAGAAAGCAATTCTCCTTCCTTTGGGGCTAATGCAGAAACGAAGTGGGCTGGTGAAGATGGAAGAGAGAGAACGAGAGAGAGCAATTCAGCTCTCTTTTATCAGCCCTTTGCTTGCCAGTGCAGAATTCTTGGTTGCCTGTGACACCCAGGTAAGTTGGTAGGTGTCATGCTGCTTCAGGAAGAGCTGATCAAGGCCGTTTTAAATAGTTTTAGTTTTGGCTCATTTAGGAATACTTGAACTTATTGTTTGTGTTCATAAATTTGAGAATATCATTGGTTATCACAGAGGGACTTCCTTGCTGATAGCAAATGAAGATCCTTGAACAGGGGTGTAGTACCCCCTTCCCCTGCTCTCCCTTTCCTAGCCACTGATAATGTGGTGGTTTTTTAGCGTTTTGAGTTTTTCCCTCTTTTCCTGGTTGAACTCCCTCTGCTACAGTTTAGTTAACTGGCAATAGGAACGTGAAGTTAAAGTAGGCTGGCATTTGGGGGTTTTGGCCAAGACCCTTTTACCTCTAGACCCACTCACGACTGGAATTCAGACCTCGCACTGAAGCACATCTGTAGCAATGGCTTAAATTTCTTCAAAGGTTGTTTTCTTAATGTTTCGTTAAGAGCTTACTTCCAGCAAGGTGGAATTCTTTCTGACCTGACCTCAAGTAAGCCCACACGGGATTGGGCTACTCAAATCTATTTCTTAATCTCTATCATGTTCTATTCTAATTCTTGCTCTGACATTTTTAAGCTTAAATGTCAGTATCTCCGAGTACAGCATACCCCTGTTCTTGTATTGGGTACCCCAATGGGTAGAAATTTACACTTGGGTGTGGGAGTTCTGGGTTCCAATTCTGCCCCAATATAGCCTTCCTATTTGCAAGTTAGCCTCAGTTTCACTTCTGTAAAATGGGACTGCCCTTAGCCTACCTCACAGGGTTGTTGTGAGGCTGAACATGAATAAAGGATGTCTATGTTTGACTCTCGCAAAGTTACCACTGCTGTCCTTCATTTGTCCAAGACTCTCCTCTTCATTTTCTTTAGTTGCCCATTCCACGGAGGCTTTTTCCAAGAACAGAGCCAAAACTGTGAATTGGCTTCTTTTCTCCCAGAAAAGAAAAGAAGCTGTTCCACCTGCTCATGAAATGTTGAAATTCTTTTTCCTTTTGCATTCCATCTGTGGGTAGAGGTCCGTCCTACATCTTGCACAAGGACTGCTTTGCTTCCTGAGGCCACGATCCTGTCCCACAGTGATCTTCCTTGCCCAGCTCCTGTGAGCAGCTTGAAGGAGGCGCTTTCCTGCAGGGCCTGCTTCGGATGCGGCCCTCCCTTCTGTCGGGCTCCTGCTCCCTCTCCCTCCTTCCTGCAAGAGCTTCCACCCTGCCACAGACTGGTTGTGAGAGCCAACACTTGCTAATCCAAAGGAGATGTGGAGGAAACATGACAGCAGGAAGAAAGGAAAGGAAAGGCAATTTGGCAGGCAGGGCCTGGAAGTGGGAAACCAGGTTGTGGATATCGTGCCATCATAAATGTTTATATATTTTGACTTTGTTTTATTATTACATTTTTCCTCTTGCATGGTGCCCAAGGTGGCTTGCAGGGTGGCCCTCCTATTTTTTCCTCACAACAACCTTGTGGTGTAGATTGGGCTAACAGTCTGGTCCAAAGTCACCCAACAGAGACTAGAACCAGGTCTCTCCAATCCCACTTGGTTTATCCTGGTGTTGCTACATGCTCACAGTTACAGTTATACATAAGTTTCAATAAACTGGTGACCACTCCCTTGTAAAAGAAAGGTAAATAGTTTGTACAGTCCCATAATTTGCCATAGTCTGTATTTGCACTCAAAATAAAAATCTGGTGTGGAGCTTGGAGGTGTTTGTCACCCACGAGATCCTGGGATGGGTCAGGTCCTTTCCCCGGCTAAAATGGGTGCACCAACTGCGATGCCTCCGGGATGACAGCCAGCATCCCCAACCTGGTGCCTCGGAGGCATTTTGGGAAACTGCCCAGCTTTCCTCAGCATTGACCATACGGGCTGGGCTGATGGGTGCTGCTGTTCCGAACATTTTAAAGGTTGAGGAATTCTGACCCATTTAAGTGCATTTTCCACCATGGTTTCGTTCTTGAGGCTAGTACAGGGGGGTGGGGTGGGGATTATCAGGCTCATGGTGGGGTAGAAAGTCTTAAACCTCCTCTTGCTACACAGCCCAGTCCTGGTGAAAATTGCCCTCCAGTGTGACTAGATTTTGTTAAATCTGTTGCATCTTTATTTCAGGGACTGGCAGGTGTCTTTGATTCCATCACCTGATCATTGATGAAATATTTTTTACCAACATGCATGCAAACCAAGTGCTGTATAACTGAGCTGCAGCTGTTCTTCAAAGAGGCAGAAAAGATACGGAGGGATCACTGAATTCCCAGGTGGCAAATACATGTGGCTTTTGTAGGAAAGCTGGAACTTTGCCAACATCCAATAGGTACATCGTCTGATTCCTTCACCTGCACTGCTCTCTGGTGCAATCTTGTTTTTCTGCAAGACTGGACAATCTGGAATCAACAATAAGCGATTCGCCTTATTAAAGACAGGGCGTGACATGAGCTTTGGAAATGAAATCCTACTTGGAAATGAAAATATTCTTAAGTTCCTATCCTATAGCTTTCCTTTTAAAAATATTTCCTTTTAAAAAACATTTCTGTTCTGCTTTGCAAGTCATTTTACGAAGCAGCTAATGGAAAAATAAATGCCTAATAGCAAAAGCAATCAAGTAGAAAACACAGCCCCAAACAACATAAAACAGCAGAAGCAGTTTGAGCTGGGGCCACCTACATCTAAAACATGTACTCCATTCCAGAGTGATAGCCCTTCCCTGGATGCAGTTAGAGCAGGACAGGCAAAGAAGCCTTGGCTCAAAGGGGCTGTTAAAAACTCCGAAAGTAGAGTTGGATCTGGGCTAAGACAGCTGCCCTGTGAATTCCTACCTGGGTGTGAGCCCCACACAACACAGAGGGACTTCTTTTGAATAAAAGTGCTTGGACTGATTTTGCCTCGAGTTTGTCATGGATCTTGCACTATATTGTGTCCTTTTTATTACATCACATTTGTATCCTGCCTTGTGAGGTGGTTTAGGAGCTTCTCCTCCTTTCTGTTGTATCCTTACCACCACAACCTTGCAAGGTAGTTTAGGACAAGAGGTCACACTGGCCCAAAGTCACCCTGGTCAGGTGGGAACTAGAACCTGGATCTGCTGAGTCCCAGGTGAAGAGGAAGAGTGAATCCAGGGAGCTTTTGCCAGAATTAAGATAATATAATCTTATTTCACCCTATCTGCAGAATTAAGGTACTATAGCTATTCAACTATGCCTTTTGACATTGGCCCTACTGGGCAGCAGACCCACTGAATGCAAACCTCTTCCCCTTCCATACCAGCCATGAACATTCTGTGGTGTATGGCCTATACTGGCCAGTTTAATAGCCACTTGCCCTCAGCAGCTGGGGTTGCTCCTACACTGGAGAAGGGAATAAACGAGGCCACAAGACAGAGCTAATGTAAGGTCCCCTGTGAGT